GAGAGAGAGAGAGAGAGAGAGAGAGAGAGAGATACAGCAGGGACACACGAGCGGAAAGAAGGAAGAGACATTGCAATGCGAGAGAAGATAAGAAGCAGAGGCGAGAACCAGAAAGGTGGACAAGATCCAGAGCAAGGGAAAGGAGAAGAGAGAAAATAAAGGATCTTCGATTGGTCTTGGTAATATAATTTGAACACTGGTAGGAAACAAACTAACAGAAAACAAAACCACTCTCTCCCCTCTTTTCTACACTATCAGCGATCAGCATAGCTGTGAACCCCAGGTGAAATCCAGAACTAACTCTTTCAGGCCTTTATAAGACACTGATGACGTTTTCTTACATGTCTTATCTTTATACCCATCCATCCATCCTTCCTTCCATCCATCCATCCATCCATCCATCCATCTATCCATCCATCCATCCATGTTACGTACACGCAGGCAGTTGCCAGCGAAATATTGTGTTTACGTGTACATGAGTAAACGGGTAGTAAACAATAATATACGTACACACTATGTACCTCTGTGTTAATGTGTTCTCACTCTGCATTAGTTCAGGTACCCAAGGTCGCTGCCAACCACATAAAGAACCAAGAACCACAGAACACGAGTCCGACCCCTTCGACCCAGCCCCCCCTCCCCTCACACGGCCATCCCACTAATGCAACATCAATATAACTGCTTCCGACATCAGCACCTCAGGCCAAAACTACTACTCTGTTACTATTCAGAGACGGAAGTACCACATGCGTTCCCTCGAGGGCGATAAATGATTTCTTTGCCAGGAACAATTACTCTCGACAACTCTCGCCGACTTCACTTACGATTGTCTCCCCTCGCATGCGATTTGTCCATTTCCTGTTGTCACGTCACTCGGATGGCGCGATCAAATGTCAATGGCTACACGCTGGCTTAATGTGGAGGCGTGCTTCCAAGGGACGAATCAAGGATACTTCTCACTCCAATTAGCACTAGCATGCACACAACCTGCAGAATGTCGAAGCTCCAATTTAAGGGCGCAATGTACTGTATGTCGAGAGAGCGGGCGGAAGTGATAGCCAAAAATAAAAGAGAGGATAGAAAAAAATCGGAATAAAAAGATACAGTGTGCATGTATTATATTCATTATGAATTATACAGAAACAGAGGAGATAGATAGATAGATACATAGATGGCAGACTTTCGTGAACAATACTTTACTTCTTCATTTGCATTGATGTATGAACTGCACCATAATATTTATATTGTTTGCCTTTAGCGCGTTTCCTTAGGCACACGTATAAGTCACAAACGTTTAGCAAAGGGACTGATGACTAAAAAAATGACCAAATGACTAATGAAGTGGATAAATTCATCAACAGCTAGAAAAGCGAATGCTGAGTAAGGAACACAACTAATAAGACGCATTGTGGTAAGTAGATATTGGTTAAATGTGGAGAAATCAAAGACTAGAGTCATGTGACCACTACGTTTCCTATCTCGCTGTGAAAGAGAGACAAAGTATAATATTCTGAATATTCAATAGGCAGTGGCCTCCTTCCTCTTTCGGTGAACATTTTTTATATGCAATTTTTCAATGGAAAAGGGTCTCGCTATTTTGCAACGGCTCAAAACCCTCCCAAGAAAGGGACGTGCACTGCAGCAACAGCATTCCAAACCAAATTGTTGTTTTCATGCATTCTTTTCTTAATTCTTTCATGCATGCAGTCATTTATTCATTTACATGATAATACATAGTACCCGACCACCCCCACCCCTTTTATTGTTCTCTGAGCACCCCCCCCCCCACAGCCCCCACTTATTGAATGTAGGATGGATTTTTTGTATTCTACCTGAACATTTTCGCAAAACTGTGAACCTTGTGACCATTTAAGCCATGGCAATGTACTCAAGCAAACAAAGAGAAATAGATTTTAAAAAACAACAAAAATAGACATGAGCACAAACATAAAATGTTCTGCATGGCGAAGTCTATCAATAGCCTACAAGATACATCGTAAGTCAGTTTCACACAGGATTGCTTGAAGGTCACGTGTTGAGAGGATGGATAAAGAATGTTACATGTGGGATGAGAGAAACCTGGATTAATCTCGGGTATCACACGTTCAGAATCTCAGCGGTTCCTTATTGTGTTAATTGGCTGTGCTACAGTAACTGTCGCAAAGCGTCCAGGCAGTATAGGCCTATTGTCACTTTCTACAGTGTAAGTTTACTAAACAGACAGGGCCTCAACTTCACACTCATCTCCGATAGAAGACATATTTATTAAGGTAAGATAAGATAAGATAATATAAGATAAGAAAAGAAAGATAAGATATGGTAGGATGAGATAAGATAAGATAGAAGTTAATAATCTGCTCGAGGAAGTTTGCATGGATATTACATAACATCAACATACAAAGATTCAGAACATACAAATACACTCGTTATATTATTGCACAATGATACCCATGAGAAATTTGGAGATTCCTCCCGAAAACTTACAAAGCAATCCAAGTTC